GGTTCAAAGTGTTCTGGGCGACCAAACTCGTCGTATTCGCGAACTGATCTCTCTGATTAAGAAGAGGACCCGTTCCAACAAGAACATCGAAGTGTTCTTGGAAAAGATGATGGCTAGGAGCCTCAGCGCTACAACCCAAGCAGAGTCACTCCGTTATAAGCTGACTGGCGGTCTCCCGGTCAGGAAGTAAGTTGTGAATTTCTGCTCATATGCTGTAGAGCCTGCTATGGCGTTCTACGTTTCATAATGGAGAATGGTGCTCGAGGTGCCGAGGTTGTCGTGTCAGGAAAGATCAAGGGTCAGCGTGCGAAGTCTATGAAATTCTGCGACGGTCTTATGCTCCACTCTGGTGATCCAATTAATTACTACATCGACAAAGCCGTACGACATGTTCGTCTCCCACAAGGTTTGTTCTGTTAGTGACATTTTACTCTCTTCAGGCATTCTCGGCATCAGAGTGAAGATCATGCTAAATTATGATCCCAGCGGCGCTACTGGCCCCAAGAAGCCACTCCCAGATAGCGTTACGATCCAGGACGTTAAAGACGAAGTTCTCCCCACCGGTCCCCTCTCCATCGAAAAGTCTCAGTAATGTGATGTAAAATATATATCATCCGGAAGTGCCTATTTTGCGCCTTAATGTCCGCCAATGGTTCTCACCTACGTTCCACGTTTACTCCGATTTTTTGTTTTTTGTAGTCAGTTGAACACAGAGGGTATATAACACAGGTTACCGGCGCTAGGACTTGATAATTTTCCCCTAATAACTTTCTCCTCGCATTTCGTTACTCGTACACACACCTGATTATACGATATTTCGGTCGCGTAACATAACGTAGTACGCCGGTAAATAGTTGATTATTCTGCTTCATTGTAACTTAGTCCGCCTGGTTATGCGTAGCCCTGACCAGGCGTTATATTAAGAGTGGATATGTTAACTACTCGTCGTCACGTAAGCCTCGCTTCGTCTTGAATAATGCATTAAAACTTATTATAATTTCTTCCACAGTACGTTTAATTACATTTCCAGGTTTGCGCTTCTCTCGGTCCCGTCATCCGTCCCCTGGCAGGTGCTCATTCTGCATGTTGGTATGGGACACCGGATAGCGCTTCCGACCGTTACGTCTTCCATGGACCTCTAACAGACCGTATAGCTTCGTTCCATCGCAGTGACGTAGATGGTACCTGTCTCTTAGGTGTAATCAGTAGAGTTCCCCTTAATAATGTCTTATCTCTTTGTCGGCTCGCGCCTCTAAGAATTGACCAACTAATCAGTTGGAATAAATGCCTCAAATATAGCTTTGCTCTAGGTCTGGCAGCCTTTGGGAGGTCATTGGCTGCTGATTGCACTTGTTTCAGGTACTTTAAGTGCGTAGATTCTCTTAGAGAATCACCCATATTGTTATTGGCGTTCCACGTTCGGTCCAACTATAAGATTGCTATGTCCCCTTCTTCCACGGCGTTAAGGTAGAAGCGGCAGCCATTGATAAACTGAGAAGATGGCTCTACTCAAGTATCAGTGACAGTGCTATATTTGACTTACACAGTGGCAGCATGTGCTTTCGGGCCCAGCATACCAGTTCTTACTGCGGATGCACCGAGGATGACTTTGGTCGTGTCCCTGTGATGCGAATTGAAGCTGCGGATGTCATCTTAAAGTGAATAAGACTAAAACCCATTCATCGGTGACATAAAAATCTGATGTTTCCTATCAGCCGCCTAACAAGCCATGGGAGCATGGCTGCGTCACTCACTGAAAAGCATTTCCGGATAATACGTTTTTGGTCTCTGTGCCCGGAGTTTACCTTTCATTGTATACCAAAGTTACCTTAATGTTCGGCGATTTAGTTGGCGCAACCGGTACAATCTCGAAGTTGGGTGGTTTGTCTAAAAATAGACCGACCAGAGAAATCAATCGTACTAGTGACTATCATCCTGAAGAAGTAGGCGGTTCTAAATGTTTCGGGACGAAGCTACTACCAAATGGAGAGTTCGGACACCCTCAGATTGACGTCAGCGACGCATTTTTCGAAACCTCTAGAAGGTGTCTGTAGGTTCAACAGTGAACATCCGTTCCCGCGCGTGCCGGTTTTTATTCTCTCGTTTCTGTGTGGTTGGGAATAAGCGTTTGTGCATGTGTAACACCAGAATTTATCGTTATCCGTGAAGCTCTTTCAGCTACATACGCCCGTTTCAAAGAGGGTGTACAAATGTATGACGAAGGGGAATGTTCGGGCGCGATATTTGTCGCCTGTCTTACGCCTACAGTATTGCTACTTGTGACTATGCGTCGCTGCTGAGTTGGATTTATTAAAATGGTTAGCCTACCGCAGTTTATGGAGGTAGGTCGTGGACCTTCGACACTCAGTCTCCGCCCCTTGAAGGGGGATTGGGTTGTGCTAGGAGCTAAAGCCTGCGGCATCAAGATTGACCAAACTGAGTAGAATAGTGAATTTCCTCGCCTGCCGTAACCCCAGGGCCAGCCTGCATAGAAATAAGAAATATATCCACTAGGGAAGCTTAATCTATAAGAACATGACAATTGACTTGGCTAACGCATGTGGCTGCGCACCTGTCCGATATGTGCATGCAGGGGACTGTAAGTGCGGGTACGGGCGTTGAACTAATAAGTGCACCATTACCATTGAACTGCCTGTAGTTAACAAGCGGGTGCCGATCGTTGTGGTAATGTTCGGCCTAAGTGGTCTTTGCCAAGGGCCACTTTCTCCACGGCGTCGGCCCAAGTAGGATGCCAAAAGATTGCAATTTCGTCCTGGTAGCGCGATGAACCACATCGAGTACATTTTTGGCTTACCTCTATCGATTCCTGCGAGGGAGGGGGGAATGCCGTACTTGGTCCACTATCTCCTGTATGACTCTGAGTCCTCGCGACTCGAAGTGAGCGTGGATTATCATTCCAGATTATTCGTTTACCTGTCCTGAACTCCCACGTACAGGCTGAGTGATAGGTCTTGCTCACAACCATAAATTCGGTAGAGAACGTCGGTTGGGACCGCTTGTGAGCGCAACCGGCTGCCGTGTCCAAGGAACAGTCACTGATAGCCATGCAATTCTAGGATGCACCATATAATTAAGGCGTGCTCGGAGCCCGTTTTGGTGAGGTTCCATTGTATCACATACGCACCAGAACCACCGCTGACTGGTGATTTCAAAGACATCTATGACTGTCGGGATGTAACGCTTGCTCTCCGTTCTATCGCCTTTGAACACAAGCAAAGGATTGACAAGTATTTGTTGTCTCTTTTCAATCATCATGAAGGCGGCTGTCGACATAAAACTGATAGGGTTAAATTCGACCTTTTTCGATGCCGTACTATTGCAATAACTTTCTTTTCTCCTGTCGGAAGTTAATGTTTCACCATATAGTCTAGTGAAGGATTAAAATACCATTCTGAAGTGGCCATCGAAACTGTTTATCAAAGGATTCGCGCGGCCAGCTGCGCTGGTGCAAGGACCACGAACTCATCCAGAAAATTTACATATCCGGGGACCCATGCCTGGGGTGATGATGATATTTCAACCGTTGCAAGCAAGGACACCCAACGAGTGGCCGCAGACGGATCGAGTTATCCCATGAGTGGGCAACCTTCCAAGCCACGGCTTATGGCGCATCGTATCATGCGACGTTCGGCCTGCCATATCGACTGTGTTAGATTTGATTGCATATTTACTGCAGGAGGTGGACGGCGTGTTTTAATGTAGTTTATTAGGTAACCTAGAGATACGTGTTTTCAGGAAGTGTGTGCTGTGGTGATGATGCCCGGGCCGCCGTTTTTTATGGAAAGTCTTTATAAAAGCGCGTATGGCCGAATGTCTCGGGATGTGTGTTACTTTTGTATGCCGGGGTTTCAGTGTGATATATTTTCTAGTAACCAGTAAGGCCTATGCGTGACGCGAAAATCCAGTCGTAGTGGGGGTGAATTTGAAATTAGCCCACATTCCTGGCGGGAAGGGTGATATTAATGATATTTTCCACACGGTAGGAGTGTATTCATTGCTGGTGTGGAATGAGAGGCACGTTGGTAGTCTTAACACGGCACTGGGGCCACATGCTCCATTCGGCTTCTCTATATCCGAACTATCTGTTGGCAGACTGGCAGATTTAGGTGCTTTCATTGTTGCTCCGCAATACGCAAGTCTTGCGAGCTCCCCTCGTTGCCTTAAC